TGACACTTTAGTCCCTGGCTTTTTCGTGTTCTGCCGCGGTCCCACCGCGGTTACGCCAGGACCGTGGCCAAAGTGGTCCTCTGAATCTTTAATTATGCTCTGCCGCGGTCCTACCGCGGTTACGGTCTGACCGCGGCAGGCCAAGTTCAGCTCTGGTTTTGTCTCTTTGCTTGGTGCACTTCGTGGGCATTGTTTGATTGGCCTCCTTTTCTCCGTAATTGATCCCAAACGTGCTCCATCGACTTCTTTCATTGGATATAGCCTGCAAAGCATGAAAAGCACTAATCAGAGCATTTGGTTATCACTTTTTACCACAAATCTATACAAAAATGTGGTTCTTTAGGGTCCAATTATAGTCTAATTCACCTATTATCACTACTCCACCCGAACCCTAATTCATGCCTATAAATAAGACTACATATGTTCTTCATTGACGGTCTCAGCAATTCTATAAACTCCCGCAATATGCACAAAGAGATCAAATATACAATCTCTGAAATTCCATAGAACTGTTAAAATATTCATTAAGAGATCAAAGACATGTCAAATATGTCTTGCTTAAAGTCCTTCGAGAAATACACCGCTAAGGCCCTCAAATCGTGTAGAATAAATCGTAGGGAAGAATCAAGGGATAAACAGAATTTTAACCTACAATGTTTATCAATAAAATCTTTTTTTCTTTATAGTTGTTTGTGATTACAATTTTATTTTTCTCTGCATAAATTTGTTGCAAACAGCCTGATCAAAGGAAATGATGTTTCCGCTCTTATAATAAAAAAACAAGGATCACTAGTAGCCCAATAAAATTTCCCATTCACAAACTTACCTGCAGCATTTACTAGAACACCACTATAATAAACACTTTTTCAAGCATCATTCTTTAGACAATAAACTTAAACCTCGATAGATCGTTAATCATCATAATTATAAAAAAAATACATACTACCTTGTAATCATCATGAAACTCATCATATCCTAAAGACCAAATATGACACACACACACACACATATATATATATATATATAAATATATATATATTTAATTATGCAAAAAAATATGATGAAAAAGCATATATATATATATATATATATATATATATATATGCTTTTTCATCATATTTTTTTGCATAATTAAAAAAAACGCTCATGTTATAATTTAAATTGTATAACATCTTAGAAACAGCACTATTTCCTTGAGAATTTAAAATATTTATCGAATTTTATTCCCCCTAAAATTCATTTGTATTTTCTTCAATCAAACTTTATTTTTTCGAGTATTATATCCTCCCACAACCTATCGATGAAATCTACATATTTGTCACTGAATAGGGTTCTTTCCTCCTACATTTGAGGTTTTTGGTTTATTGCGATTTTGGGTAGAATGATTTTGGGAGAAATGGAGTCGAATCGACGAGTTTTGTATGAATTTTACTTAACAAATAATGCCGTTAGTTTGTGTCCCATTAGCGTTAGTAACACGTGCTATAGCTTGGACCAAAGTTATTCACTTTTATCACGTACTCCGTTCCAATTTATGTGAATTTATTTCCTTTTTAGAAAAATCTATTTTCATATTTGAAAATAATTTATCTGTATGCAATAATTTATAAGCACACAAAATATATTTGATGATATAAATAGAATTATATTTAAGGTGAGTATCTATATTTTCGAGAGATTTTAGGGTTTGTTACTTTGTGACTGAGTCACTTTTTTCCTATAAGTAGAGGGATGATATTCCATTATAATTAATCCCAAATCAATAAGAATCCTCTCTCTCTACTTTTCTCTGCATTACTCTTCTTTTCTCTTATTATTTTATAACACGTTATCAACACGAGACTCTAACAAATTGAGTAGAGGCATCCGCTTTGGCCACCAGGCTTTGGTATACGCGCATGGTCCTCAACTTGTACATTCTCATTTGTTCCATGACCTTTCTTCAACAATAAGTTATGGATTTAAGGTAAGTATTTTGCTTTATTTTTCTCCTTTAAATTCTTGAAATACTATAATTTGATTTTAAATACAAGCAAAGGCAATACATTTTGATTATAATTACTCTAATAGAGTTTGTGAGAAATTATAACCACCCGAAATGGTAAAATTTCTATGTCTTGCCATGATCATATTCAGTATGATTATGAGCACAAGAAGTGGAAACACATCCCATTGAATTTGCTTCATTCTCATTCCCTTAAGAGAATGTGGTAGCAATATGTAATAAGTCTGAAAGAAGACAAATTATTACCGTGAAGGTATCAATGGCGTGGCAATAGACGAGACTATAATCGTCCTCATTGTGGTAATGAGAAAAATAAGGATTCTCAAAATAATCCTTCACTTTGTGAAAGTAATGTTTGCCATCGATTTGACATGAGATTTTGTAAAGCACATATGGATGATTATGGTCCATTCATGATTTGAATGTGACAACATGTGATTTATGAATACTTATTCATTCATGGAAGAATATGAATGTGCTAGTGGTAGTGAATATGTCGCACTCACCTCTAGAAAGAGATTTGAGATGAAATGAGAAAATAATTTTATTATTATAGCATCAATGGTCTTGATCACGTACGTATTGTGATTATGCCAAAATATTATGGCAATATGATTATTACAGGACAAAAATAATAGAAGCAATATATCTTGCCTATAATGATTTTGACCATGACCATATTGGTATAACTTCTCCTTGGAAGAGATATTCACCACATGGACGTTGATGAATATGTGGTAGTACAAAATAAATTGAAAGCTCAAGAAGAGCCAATTATACTACTTTGGAGAAATAAAATTGATTATCAATAAGATATTGTGTTGTAGTTAGTCGGGGTAATATGTATGCGAAAAGTTACCCGCTTTATTCTCCATTTTGCACTACACAAATAAAAGAATGCCACAATAAAGTAGAAATTTATTAATAATTGCATACATCTTGGTGTAAACCTAAAGTTTATCAACATGAACGTGAATGTCTATATTTTAGAGAGATTTTAGAGTTTGTTACTTTGTGACTAAGTCACTTTTTCCCTATAAGCAGTGTTGTGAAGAGCGTGAAGCGAGGAACAGCGACAAGCCCCTTTTCGCTTAAAGCGAGTAGCGAGAAGCGAAACGCTCGCTTTTTTGAAGTGAAGCGGAATTTAAGAAAAAATAATTAAAATAACTACTGCATAGACAACACATGTAACTGTAAGCAAATGTTCAATACTTCAATATAAAAACTAAAGAGTAGCATCAATTAAAGCACAAAATGAGCATCCTATTCTTCTACGAGATTGTCATATACTTGTACTCCATTATCATTATTATATTGCTCGTCATCTTCTTCAACTTCTTCTTCTTCATCAACTAGGGACAAAGTAGCTACGAATAAAGGATATGAAAATAAGAAGAAGACCAATATAACTGAAACAAAAAAATGAGCAGCATTTCAATCTTTTCATCACTGCAATAGTGCAAGAAAATGAAGAAGAAGAGAGGAGAAGAATGAGAAAGAAGAACTGAAGGGAAAAAGAAATTCGCTAGCATTTCGCTGCTATTTGGACGCTGAGACAGTGAAAGAAGAAGAAGAAGAAGAAGAAGAAGAAGAAGAAGAAGGAGGAGAATGAGGAGGAGGAAGAGGAAATCATATACTTGGACCAAATTTGATGATCTTGAAATTGAAAAGTGTAGAAAACTTGAACCCTAGGTCACCTCTTTCTTTCTCTGTTGCTGCTGGACGCTGGTGGATGATTTTTTAGAAAAGAGAGGCTTTTTTAATTAAATAGGTCTATAATACAGAGAAGCGCTCGCTTCTTACGCTTCACTTTGCATCATCGCTTCTCGCTTTTTATTGGGAAGTGTGCGCTTTTGAATACCTGGTACGCTTCAGCTAACAGAAACGTTCAACTGGTCGCCTCGCTTCGCTTCTCGCTTTAAGCAAGGAAGCGCCCGCTTTTCACAACAGTGCTTATAAGTAGAGGGGTTATATTCCATTGTATTCATCCTAAATCAATAAGAATACTCTCTCTCTACTTTTGTATGCATTACTTCTGTCTTCTCTTATTACTTATTATTTTATAACATGTGCCTTATTTTATCTCTTTTTCCTTAAATTCAGTTCCAAGTCAAATTGGTTCATTCTATGTTCAACAGTATATAGAAGGGTTCAAAATATTGCTGTACATGTTCCTGACTTTTTCCGGTATAAATTGGAAATATCTTCGGAACACGAAACCTAGTAGTGTTCTCCACTCAGGAGCTCGAGTTTGAGCACAACCAAACTGGAATCTGAGGGAGATGAAGCCTCCTGTCTACACTCAAAGTGGAGCAAACCCACTAACCATTCTCAATTTCGATTAAGTTCAATGCAAGAATAAAGCTTAAAAATCCCTGTTCTGCCAGCTGAGCTCATCACTGAAATACTGTTAAAGCTACCAGTCAAATCCCTTTTACAATTCAGGTGCGTCTCAAAATCTTGGCTTTCCTTAATCTCTACTCCTGAATTTATCAAGACTCATCTCAGCATGTCCGCTAATAACAAGGACTACACCCACCATAGGCTTATCTTGGTTCAACATGACTACAATTTTGAGGAATGTACCCATACTTATCTTAAGGAATGTTCCCTTAGTAATGTACTTGATGACTCTGTTATTAGGGGATTTGACTTGGATTATCCTATGAAAACCCCCTATAAATCCGTTGAGATTTTGGGTTCTGTAAATGGGTTGATTTGTCTTACTATTCAGGAAGAAGACTTGTTTCTCTGGAATCCATCAATTAGGAAGTTCAAGAAATTGCCTGAGGCTTGATTACTATATCATGTATGGTTTTGGATATGATGAGGTTCATGATGATTATAAGGCAGTGTGTGTTTCCCGAAATTCGAGTTATAACATTTCACATTATGTTGAGGTCAAAATTTATAGTCTAAAAAGTGATTCGTGGACATGTATCAATGATTTTCATAGTGGGAAGCAATTCATTGGGGGGGTTGGGGGGGGGGGGTTATGTTATTGAATGGGAAGCTTCATTGGGCTAGTAGTAGTACTACCTCTCATGATTTTCATTCTTATAATGGTTGGGATATCGGTTACATTGATCTGGCTGATGGGAAATGGGGAAAAATGGATACACCCTGCTATGGAGAAGGAGATTTTCAATTTATGCAGTGCTTGGGAGTCTTGGGAAGTGATCTTTCTGTGTTTTGTAATAGTCAGAAGATTTACACAGATGTTTGGGTTATGAAGGAGAATGGGGTTAAAGAATCTTTGACAAAGATGTTTACCATCAATTATCCTGCTTATGGTGTGGGGGATATGCTCGTTCCACCCTTTTGCATGTCAAGTGAAGGTAGAATTTTGTTTGAGAATGAATCAACTTTCATGATTTATAATCCAAAGGATGAATCGATAAGATATCAAGCAGTTACCAACTGTGATTCCTTTTACTGGGCAGATATCTACATCGAAAGCCTAGTTTGGCCCAATTTTACTGAATAAATTAATGATGCAACATCAATGAAGGCTGAAAAATTTCATACGAAGACAATTAGTAAGAGCTCTCTAAACATTTTTTCTCAAGTGCTGTTACATTTTGTTTTTATATTCGAATATATCACAAGACGCTACATATCACGGTTATCTTTGAACTATATCTGCTTGGAGATTTTGATAGTCATTTTTCCTTTTTTGCTTCACGAAACAATCATATTTTGCAAGAAGAGTTATTTGGTTGAGGTGCTTGGTGTCCTCAGTGTCAAACTTAATGGCACTCAACATCGTTTCGCTCATGGAACATTACTTTAAGGGGGATATTGCTCCTCTAGACGGAGAAAGAATAAGGAGCACCAGGGACATGTAAATCATGGCAGGTGAGTGCGCCAATAACGCCTAGTTGTAGCCCTTGCCGGGTTTTCCGTTTGATCCAGGGGGCTTCTCCAATGACCTTTTTTAGGCGAAAAGTTAATAAGGATAAAGGAGGAAGCACATAAATTATGGAAGAACAGTCAAGATATGATATAGTAGTATCTATTTTTGGCACTTTCCTCGTTGCTATTAGCTAATTTCTAATTTTCTCCTGCACTGATTTTCTGGTTTTCCCGGCTAGATATGTATATTTTTCTTTAGGGCTATCTTCTCACTGTTGTGCTCGTTTGGTCAGTCAAAATTTGAATCACCTTCCACTTTGGCAGTAACTTTGAGCTAAGCAATGGTACATTGCAAGTAAACATCATTTTAGGAAGCAGATTTAGCTACCGTGATCATGAGAGTAGAAAGGACATGGAAATGTAGGGAAAAAGATACATGAACATTGTTTAAGAAGGCCTTGCCCATTATAAAGTAAATACAGCACAAACTTTTCTCATCTTTGTTATTTAACAACAGTTCTTCCTAAAATAGTAGAGTAATTCTTTTTATCATGTTTAGACTTTAGAGTATCTATACTTTTGACCTTTTTTCCTTAAGAATTCGTGTATTGTATTTTGCCTTCCACAATATTAAAGTTAATATACATTTAGGTGCAATGTTTATGTATCACCAAGTGAAAACATGAAAACTCTTGTTTCAAGCATTTCAAGTGTCACTCCTACTCATATGGATCAACTATCTATCATGCTAATTTGAAATTTTGATCCAATTTTATGTAGCCAAGCTATAACAAGGAAATGTAGCTAATCCTTGTAATAAAATCATATGGAGCTAGAGAATGTCATTGTTGTTGCGTTTTTTTAAGGGGTGTGAATGGGAAATGGAAGGGGCACCTTTTAGATTGCACCTCTCCATATCATCCTTCCTTTGTCTATAAATTTAGAGGCTTGGCCTCATTTTTAGACATGAAATCAGACATGGAAAATCTGAAATCTTCTCCCCTATGTTCTACATTGTTGCATTATTTTCTAAATAAATATAAGTGTCAAGTGTGATTTGCTCCGTTTGTTGAGTTTGATGAAGTTCTGTGATTTGAAGTGCCGCTATCACAGAATAGTTATTCCATTCTATCCTCGGAGGAATTAATCCGTATACCTTGGGCAACAGTGAGGGGATTAAATTCCTTAAGGACACATTGTGCATTCAGTGGGCTCAGAATTATTTTACGTTATGTTTATTGAACTAACATTTGTTTACTTTTATGATTTTGAACACAGCAATACCAACAAGCTTAAGGAATTTATCATTACTATTTGATGTTATCAAATAGCGATAGACAAAAACTCAATTTGAATCCAAACACTGGAGAAATATGTGAAAAATCCATGGCTGAAAGGTAAAATCTTTTAACTACGTTGATGATCCTGAAATGGAGCATGGTAATTGTTTGGTAAACAAGATAAGGATCCAAAGTCTTTTGATAAATCCAAGACCCATATTGGTTCCTTATATTTTATATGAGTTGTATTCTGTATTTCTGTTAATGCCTTGTTAAGGTCAGAAAGTAAGAGTATTGCGTGACTAGTTAAGGTTCTATGAGGATGATTAAATAAGTGAGAAAGTCAGATCGTCTCTACATATAGAAATATTCTTTCCTTTGAGAAAAGAATCGGCGCAAAGCGAAACTGGCGCATACCAAGAAAATTGATTTCAAATGGTGTCAGATGATATGATGGTGGCCCTTGTAAATTCTACTGGCTGTTGTAAAAGATTATTTGTGATTGATATCGTCAAGCGATTACATCGCAAAAATACTGCCGTGATATTATCGTGAATAGCAATGAAGTTGGATTTGGTTGCAACGAATACTCTATCAAAGAAAATGGCATGGGGTTGATGAAGGGCGAAATTCTTCAATCCAATTTCGGTTAAGCAATAAATTCTAACAATCCCCCACTTGTTTAAATATAAATAAAGACTCAAAATCAAGTTATGTCTATGCATAAAGTAATGTATCTTTCGATTTGAACATTACCTTAGTATAATATCACAAGATGAAATCGAAATCACATGTAGCATAATAGCTTTGAACATGTCATTCCTTGTGATAACATCGGTAACACTATACACATAAACATTTCGGTTTTGCTTTCCACTCAAAACACGCTTAGCACTTTTATGGCCATGTGCTATCCAAAATTCATGAACATTTATGAAAGTAACTCGAACTCTCAATTGAAGCGGCACCACTTTGATGTTCATATAGGTAAAGTTCTTGCAGTGTATTTGTCACATTTGAGACACTTGTTCCTTGAACTGAACCTCATTAAGAGTTTTATAACTCATCCCTCTTATCTGTGACAACCAGCACTAGTATATCTCTTACTTGAGTACTGAAAACGTCCACTTATCAATAACTTGTTATTACCCTTTGAACCCAAAACTACTCATTTCATAGTGTTAGGTAGGGTTGTCGTTATTGGTAGACTTAATTAAGGAGTTTTAACCCAATCAAACTCGAAGTCGTTTTCGCTGACTCCCTTGTAAGAGATTTAGTAAATGGATCAACCAAAATTACTTTTTGACTTTACAAATGTGAGAGAGATAATTCCATCTTTAATTAATTTTCTCACATAATCATGTCGGAGACTTATATGTCTTGACTTTCCATTATATATATATTGCTATAAGCGCGAGCTAGGGTGGCTTGACTATCACAATGAATTGAAATTGAGCTCATACTTTTTGAGATCAATGAAATTTCTAAAAGAAAATCCCTCAACCACTCAGCTTCTTTTCCTGCTTCTGCTAATGCAACAAATTCCGACTCCATGGTTGAATGTGTTATACAAGTTTGTTTCTTGGATTTCCAAGAAATTGTACCTCCACCTAAGGTGAACACCCAACCAATTGTAGATTTATTGTCTTCTAAACTCGATATCCAACTTGCGTCAGTATATCCTTCTAAAATAGCAGGAAACTTTGAGTATTGAATACAGAGATCTTTGGTTTTCTTAAGAAAACCAAGAACTCACTCAATGGCTTTCCAATGATCAATACACGGATTGCTAGTAGATCTGCTTAATTTATTAATTGCAAATGCTATGTCTGATCTTGTGCATTGTGTAGCATACATTAGACTTCCAATAGCGCTTGCATACTCAAGTTGAGCCACAACTCTTCCTTCATTCTTGATTAACTTGATGCTTGGATCAAATGGGGTATTAACCTCTTTTATGTTTAAGTGACTAAATTTATTTAGTACTTTCTCAATGTAATGAGATTGACTCAATACGTATCCCCCACTATTTGTTTTAATCTTGATACCCAATATGGTATCAACTTGTCCAAGATCCTTCATCTTGAATGAGGAAGATAGAAACCTCTTCGTCTCTATAATTCCATTCGTATCATTGCTGACAATTAACATGTCATCAACATATAAACAAACTAACACAAAATATTTACTACATATTTTAGTATAAACACACTTATCAACTATATTATGTCTAAAGCCAAATGATAAAATTGCTTTTATCAAATTTCTCGTGCCATTGTTTAGGGGCTTGTTCCAGTCCATACAAAGACTTGACAAGTTTACAAACCTTATGTTTATTTCCCGGAAGAACGAACCCTTCGGGTTGTTCCATATAGACCTCCTCCTCGAGATCACCATTTAAGAATGTCGTTTTGACATCCATTTGATGAACATGTAGGTTATAAATAGACGCTAAAGCAAATATAATTCTAATTGAAGTAATTATTGCTACTGGTACGTATGTATCAAAATAATCAATTCCTTCTTTTTGTCGAAAACCCTTAGCGACTAACCTAGCTTTGTAAGTATGTAAAGTCCCATCAGTATGATACTTTCTCCATAACACCCACTTACAACCGATAGGATTAGAAGTTTGAGGCAAATCAACAAGTTCCCAAGTGTGGTTTGATATTATTGAATCAATTTCATCTTTAATAACATCTTTCCAAAAAGCCGCATCTCTAGAAGCCATAGCTTCTTTATTCATCTTCCACTTGAAGAATAATTTGAGTTGTTCTCACAACTATATCTCTATTACCTTCAACAAGATTAAAAGAAATACGTTGAGAGTCAACCTCATCTGATCCAAGTATTTTAGCCTTTCGAACTCTAGTGCTTCTCCTTTGTTCACAAGGTTGATCATTAACTTCCTGTGAAGTAGATTGCTTAACAATCCTTTGAGATGTTTTTTCCAATGTTACCTCAGTTGATGGAGATTGACATCTTCTGCCCGAAGTTAAAAGATATTCAAAAAATTCCACATCTCTAGATTCAATAATGACATTCGACTCTAAATTAAGAAGTCGATAAGCTTTGCTATTTGAGGCATAACCTACAAATGCACACTTGATCCCTCTAGGACCCAACTTGATGCGATTTGGATCATTGTTTTTGCAATATGCAAGGCACCCCCGCACTTTAAAATATCCTATATTAGGCTTTCTTCCCTTCCAAAATTCATATAGAGTAATTTGATTTTTTTTCATAGGAATCCTATTAAATATGTGACATGTAGCAAGAAGTGTTTCTCCCCACAAATTAAATGTCAATTCAGCATGTAACAACAAAGCATTAACCACTTCTAAATAAGTTC